CTATCTTTAAACGTTAATATCTCGTTAACTATTGCGCAACCTACAAAATAGTATAAGATTTTTCGATTCAATTCGGTCCGTTCTACCTGCTCGTGATCGATTAGCCGATAATTTTCAAACACCCTGTACATAGAAGTTATTCTATAGATAAAAATTAGAATCTCTTTCTAAAAAATGGAGTGCTATCGGTTCAGGGTATCGATTATGTATCTTTTTCCGTAGAACAAAAACGTGAAAAGTGACAATTTTTATGTATGTATGTATGAACATATACCCACATACATACAAAAAATTTTAACTTTTCACGTTTTCGCTCTAGGAAAAAAGATACATAATCGATAATCTGAATTTGTAACATTGATTGGCGCCCTTGTCAAGACCGCGCCCGGGGCGGATCGCACCCCCCCGACTTGCTACGCCACTGTTTGTACATAAATGTATATGAAAATTAACTGCATAATATATTACTAAAACTGTACCTCCATTAAACCATGTGATTGCAGCAAAAGATTAATGAGTTTAGTGTCAGTTTGAAAGATCTTGTAAGTCATGTGTAGCTGCTTCGCAGGTGGATTTTCTGGTGGCGTGGCTAAAGCGGAACATCTGAGAAACAAGCAACAGTTGCTTAAATATTTCTACGCGTTTTAAAAATAAAGATCATCAAAGATATTCTTATATCAACTTACTTAAAGCGTAAAACGGGCATCTTGCTTCCATTTGGTCCATTCAATAACCATTCGTTGTTTATTGCATTTCTTGCATTCGTTGTGCTACAAAAAAATATATTAATAAAATATTACACACGTACGCACATATATGTATGTGTTTTTACACACACGTGATCATATAACGTGTTCTCTCTATACATATCAGTTATTGCGAGGAATATTTCCAAAGCCTCAGTGGTCGAGTTGGCTAAGACACTCGCCCCGGAAAGTGGAGAAGTCCCAGGTTCGAACCCTGGCCGAGGTAATATTTTTCGCAATAAGTTCTTTACAGTTCTTTTAATTTAATTTGGGGGAGGGGGGATTATTAGCGTTTTAGAACTAATTGTGTTGAAAGTTCGAAAGTTATCAGCGTGCAATCATATCTGAAATAAATTAATTTAAGAAAGAATATATATTGTATTATATATCGAAACATCTAACTTTGACCGTGATGATTCTCTATCGTATTCTCTATCGTATTGTTTTTTTTTGTTGAAAATATATTCTTAATGTTTTATACATATATGTATATAGGGGAAACCGGAGCACCATGGATCACGAGGTACCATGGGTCATCGATTGTTTAACATAATCTAGAATGTTTAAATTAATACTACTGGTACAACACAATTGTTACTTCATTATCCATACTTTTCATCTAGATGGCAGTGATTAAATGCCATAGTATCGAAAAGCATCGATCATTAATAGTTTTCGTGGTGCAATGGTAACTTTTTAACCGCATAAAAATGTTTTAATATTGTTTTTATAGTAGAAGATACATGTATGAAGATATATATAAGGTGCAAGTTTTTGCGTATCTTTTTTAATCTTGCTACGTTACAAGTAATAATCTAATATTTATTTTTTATCGTTTTCTATTAAATGTATAATTCGGAATCCATGGGTCATACATTAAATATTCATGCTTGATATCGTCGAGTAAACGCTTCATGTGTTTCTTCTTTCTTCGAGTGATTTTCAGTTACCGAATAACTATTGGATTAATAATTACGAATCATCGATAGTAAAACGGACTCTTAAGTGATAGAGGTACATTAGTAAATTTCTCGTTTTCTTCAAGTGAATGAATAGTTTGTATGTCAATCGAGCGTGAATGTTTTATAAGAAATGAAGTATTGATTAATTATAAATACTCGATCTGTGTGCATTCTGTGTCAGTGGGAACGTGTGATATCTAAATTAAATTTCTAAGAGGAATGAAAGTTTAATTAAACATAAGCATTTGTTTGAAACTGTACGTGATCCATTGAAATGGAAGTTTTTCTTTTTCTCAAGCTGCAAATGAAGTTATCGAACTTTTACAAGGCAACTGTGTGCGTGCGTGCGTGTGTGCGTGTGTGTCTGTGTGTAGCGATCGTGTGATCGCAGCGAGGGACTGAGGGTTCCCTGTACTGTATGCGTCGGACAGTGAGTTACGCCGCCCCTGGCTACGTTTTCTACGCGTGCTGTCATTCGCGCTACCTATTTTTTATTATTATTGCTTATAACTATGTTATAAACAATATAACTTATACGATACAAAATGTTCACATATGTAACAATTATACATTGAATAAAATTACAATAATTTCAGTTAATTCTATTTATTGTTTGTCACCTACATTTGAAGAAAATAAAAATTAAGATAAAATATTAATTAAAAATTAAAAAGACCAAAGAAATTTTGATTTTTATTTTTAGCATAGTGCTATTTTAGCACTATGCTCACATGCAATGACTTTATCTATACAAAGTATCGCATAAAAATAAAATAAGAAATGCTTTACATAAAAGGTGAAATAATTCATAAAATATTTATTGTTTGATCATTTTGTACTAACATTTTTGTAAGCAGAACAATGAGAAGAATCGATTTGTGACTAAAAATCATATAATTTCACTGAAAAAATTTAGTCGACTATGAAATTACCTTCGCAGAGGCTCTCAAGGTTAAATATAGGTTGCTATTCTACATTTCTTTCGAAACCAAACAACTTTTATTTAAAACATTTTTAGGAGAAATGCGCTATTTCCGAAGTATTTTAATTCATTCTAATGTTCTAATAATTCGTTTTAATGGCCGGAATTATTTGTTTAATCTAGAAATATAGAACTATTGAAAATACACTTAGAACTCTCAATATTTAATGAGTTTCCACCAAGTGAGACGCTAGCTAATTCATATACACCACACTCAATGCTCCAGCTAAAGGTTAAGAGAAAACAAACCAACTCGCGTTAATACTAATTTCACGTTGATTTTTTGTTTTTATCACTTGATTACACACACACACGCGCGCGCGCGCACACACACACACACAATGCATACGATTCTAAATCTTATATATACATATATGAAGCTATTTATCGAAGAGAGACCAAAAAAACGGAAATAAGATATTAAATAATTTTTTTGAAAAGACTAATAAAGGATAACAGGAACGAATTAGGCCCAGTTCCACAACTCACAGTTAACTTTTAACCGAGGTTTAACTTATTTATTGTCTCTTTCTAATTCTAGAATTGGAAAGAGATGAGAAACAAATTGAACCTCAGTTAAGAGTTAACCAGAGTTAAGAGTTGTGGAACTGGGCCTTAATATCACGATACAAAATTTAAACTTGATTAATATACATTGCATATGCGTGACAAATATCGAGTTGAATCACAGTTGAATAATTATAAGAAAATTCGATAGTCTTAATAAATGTATTACGTACAAGTAACTCACTTTTCTAAATTATCAGATTTGTGAGATTTGTGTACCAAGGTCTTTAATGTTTCTTCGCTGTTATTGGATAACTGCGACATACCAGACAGGCTGGAAGACGACATGAGTTTTTTCGAACGTTTCAAGTCCAATCTTCCTACTACATTGGTATTTCTTTGGGACATCTTAATTCATCTGAAATAAAACAGAAGACCATATATAAAATTGTCGTACTATGTGAACAAGGAAATGGCATGTAATGATAACATAAGTATTGATGTATAGGCATATCCATAAAAGTAGCCACGGTAGTGTCGCTGCGCGTAGCTTAGCGCCGAGACCCTACCAGTGTTTCCAAATACCCAGACAACACACAATATTTATAAAGCATTTACAAAATATTAAGATTTATTAGAATATTTATAAAATATATATCAAAAAATATTTTGACATATATTTTGTAAATATTCTAATAAATCTTATAAATGAGAATAGTCAATGAAATCTATTGTCACGACTGTTAAATATCCTATGTAAGTTAAACACAAAGACAACTCCACACCAGAATATATGAGCATTATTCTGATATCAATAAGAAAACGAGATAGCCCTCGGTAATTACATTTAATTTCAAACACAAATTTAAATGGCACGATGTAAAAATAATAGATAATGAACTATCTTATAATAAAAAATTTATTTCAGAAATGGTGCATAAAAAATACAGAATTTTGGATTAAATGAGCAAAATGATAAGGAGTCATTATTGGATATGTATCTCTCCATCTTACAAAAGTTATTCCAATGAACTTTATTGCAATTGGAAAACTTCTGACTTCTAGTTTTCATATATGACCTAAGTTTTTAATAACTAACATCTATCGACCTGTGTAAGTCGATACGATAACTTAATGACTGATGCAGTTGCAATGAGGCACTTCTTTATCCGTCATGATACTATACTATCTATAATTATTGGAAAAATTAACATGATGTGGATACTGTAAAAATTGAAGATTTTGTAAAATTGTTAAATTGCGGATTAATGTTGTACGACACTGAAGATGACCCGATAAGGGTTGAAACGTTTGTATTTTATATGTATTAGATTTGTGAATGATTTTTAATTGTTAACAACTACTATTCTGTTGTGACTCGTAGTCTTTTATTAAAATAATTTCTTATTACTTGTGTGAGTCTAAGGACCTGCGCACAATAGAGAAACAAGAATTAAATCTTAAGATTTCAACCTATCAGAAACCGTGTATTCCGATGTAATCAGTTTCTGATAGGTTGAAATCTTAATATCTAATTCTTGTTTCTCTATTGTGCTCAGATCCTTAGTTTATATTATTATATTAAAAATTGCTTGTCAATTTAATTTAATTGATATTTTATTACAGTATTTGCGTTTATAAGTTCGGAAAACCAATTCGAGGTGCGTACTTCGAATAACTACAAATATAGTATATATATGCACATACATATAGTATATATACATATATATATATATATATATATATAGATATATATACATAATTCATATTGAATTATTTCAGCATTAAAGATCCAGCTTCGACCGGTATAGGCATTTAATTTCATGTTTGTATATTCATTTGTGTTCTCACATGTACAGTCTAAAAATAAGATTCTTATTGTTTAAATTTATATGTTCAAATTCACATGGGCAAAGGATCAAGACAATAACGTATTACAACCGCTATAAGTATTTTTATGACAATTTAACATTAAAATTTAAGTTTTAACGATTTCTCTTCGATTTAAAGGTATGTTCTGTGAAAGACAGCTGTCTCGGCTTCACGCTTTCTGATTACGAACGCAATTATGCAACGCAATTAAGGATGTTTGATAGACATACATAGCACATATATATGTATATATTCATATTTAAACTTTAAACAAACTACATACATATAAAAACTATACGTGTTCATAATATTCTGTTTTTATTAAACAACACATTTTTATCGTTTATTTATTTTATTTGTTATTATTTTTATTGTTATAAGTTAAAATTTTAAAAAATAATAAAAAAATTGTAATGCGTTTGTACAAATACTTTAAGTATTCAAAATAACTTACGCAAAGTTTCGTTGCGATTTCATTACAACGATTAGTTACAACGAGAACAAATAAATATTTTATTAACTGGCGGGGGGGGTAATAACTAATTTCTGCATCGCAATATAACTTCACACAAATAATCTTCAACACATAGTGTTATACTTGGGGTAATACTTAAACCAAAAAATTAAAATTTTTGTCATTTATTTTATGATACATTTTCATACATTTCTATTAGAACACAAATTTAAAAAATACTACTTCTATTATTAAAAAAATACATTATTGTATCGATTTAGGGTACGATTTAGGGTGCGTCCACTTAACGTTCGCAGTACGCTCGAATGCATTATTTCATCCTTGCTTAGTATTTGATAACAACAAGGATGAAATAATAATATTTACGAGCGTTGCAAATGTTAAATGAAACGCATCCTTATGTCCGTATTCATAGGAAACCTTAAATGTAAGGCCTGACTATAAATACGGGCATTAGAATCAGTAATTTTTTCATTATTTTAAAATATCGAACATTCCTAACTAATGGTAAGAAAATCTTTTTTGAATTATTAGTAAACTAAAACTGGTTTGAGAAGGCAAATTTTTATATTACTGCCTTTTAAATTCAATTTAAAAAAAAAAAGATATTTTTAATTCATTTCACTGAAAGGAAAATTATGATTGCATTTAAAACAAAGTACGAGAGAAACATGAAATCGTTGATTGTGTAAATTACTTTGAGATAATAACGAACGAAAATATATAGCATTGATTTTGTAAGGTTTATGTGCGTCTCTTGAATACTCTCTGAGTACACTAACTAAAGTACAAGAAGTTTTAAAAATCAATGCTAACACACTATCAACATTAGTATTGCTCGCGTGCAAACCTCGAAACCAAGATACAGGATCGCTGAAGATAAGAGAGAGTGTAACACACACATAAGAGAAAATATTTTTTATGACACACTCGGTAATTATTATAAAAGTTAAATATACATAATACTAAACTGTTAAATTTGTTTGTGCGATAGTTTTGACAAAAAGATCACTTGAAAAATAAATCATTCTAAAGTCTGTATGCCATATTTTAACACATTATTATGTCGTTCAAACTGTGTCCGTTAGCAACACTATGGAATTGGAGAACAAAACGCTTGTCACATTAACGGAACATATTCTTCGTGTGTTTGTCAAAAATATTGAACTATTAGCAAGCAATCGGGACTTACCACAATTCGCTCAGATGACTTAATGCCTGTCAATTGTATATTTGGTGACTATACATCGCGAAAACTACTTTATTTTACTATACTCGCGGACCGGCACTAATCATAACCATACCATAAAAGAGTATAATAAATACTGTACTCCTACTACCTACTGCTACCTACTGCCTACCCCTGTCAATCGAATGTTAAATGCCAGCGTACAGTCTGTGACAAAAGTATCAACATAATGGCCGCAACACAGACTCTTGTGTAAGGCGTCGTTTACAATACACGGAGTAAGAAGTAAGAGTAAGAAATTGACCAATCACAGTCGATTATTCTTCTCACATTCGACTGTGATTGGTCAATCTCTTACTCTTACTTCTTACTCCGTGTATTGTAGACGGACCTTAACGCATAATGCATAGCGCATAAGGGAATTGACCAATCGAAATTCTTCTTTTCCATGGAGGAATACGGCAGGAAAGGAAAGATTCTGATTAGTTGATTCGCTTATACACTATGGCCCGTATTCAGAACGCGCTTACAACGATGTTAGCACGCTAACATACTATACTTTACGTCACGTATATTATAGAATAGAATTTCGGAGATAAAAGTGCGCTTTTATCGATAAAAGTGCGTTCTGAATACGGGCCTAGGTGTTTTAAGGTACAATTTCATGCAGCGGAGCTTCGCTGGCGAAGACCCCCCATTCCGTCGATTCGTGAGAAAATGCGTAGCTAGCGAAGCTTCGCTCAAAGTTCAACACTGTCCAACTATAAGGGAAGCAACGCTGACTCTGGCTGTGGCTTGATTGGCTAAATGTTTCATTTTTTGATTGGTCTCTGGAAATGTTTCAATTTTTGGAATTATTTGTTCAACGCTCCTTTATTCACGGCATAGCAGGAGTAAGAGTATATCCACACAACTTGCATAGCCGCATAAACATATGCATAAAGGAAATCATCCAATCGTAGTTTACGCTTGGCTTTATGACAGAAATGTGATTGGATAATTTTCTTTATGCATATGGTTATGTGGCTCTGCAAGTTGTGTGGAATGGCCCTTACGGCTGTAGTATACAGGGAGGCTCTCTAATTTTATCTACAGACGAGTGCTTTGTCAAAACTTACCGGACACCCTATATAAGGTATTATTTATGTGAAATATATTCAACAATATTTCATTCTCTATAACGTATATATAAAATGAAAATGTGCAATATTGTCATTTATTTATTTTCCAAGGTTCTTTATTCATGTGACAAATACAAGAGAGTAAAAGGAAAAGAATTTTCAGAAAATAATTGAAAATAAAGAAAAATTTAGAATATAGAAGAAATAGAATGGAGAAACTATACATACATACATTCATACATCATACATACATATATATGTATATATATACACACATATATGCACACACACACACACGCGCGCGCGCGCGCGCGCGCGCGCGCACACACACACACACACACACACACACACATACAGAATGTTCCCGTAAGTTTTTGCCAACCGCTTTTGTGTAGGTAGCGCACACTAAACTAAGTCGAAAAGTCCTCTACCATTTTGCAATTTTCGCAATAGTTAACAAGATATTAATTACTAAAAATTGCTGAATATTGGTTTTCAATAATTTTTTACTCAAATACTATCAACTTTACAGAAAAACTGCAAGGGACAAAAATCATTTTTGATACGCAGGAGGGTGGAAACTTTATTATATTTCTTTTTCTTCGTTGATCTTGTTGAGAATGACCCCAAGAAGTGGTCGAAACGTTGGAGTGTACAGCAAGTCAAAAATATAATTTAAATATATATAGAATCAATGATTGTGCATTAAATACCGCACCGAACTCTCATTTGCCTAATTCCCTACATTATTTTAATTTTCGAGAATTCATAACTAGTAATTCTTATTAAAAATCATTTATTTTCTTTTCATAAAACTCTAAGAATTTTTTCAGAATTTTTTTATTACCTTTTTAGTACTGTATTTTCTTATTTTTACCAACGTGAGAAAATATGATGTTAAAAAAATTCTGAAAAAATTCTCAGAACTTTATGAGAAGAAAACAAACAATTTTTGTCTCTCGCTGTAAAGTTGATAGTATTTGAATAAAAAATTATTGAAAACCAATATTTAGCGACATATAGTACTTAATATCTCGTTAATCGTTGCGAAAATTGCAAAATGGTAGAGGACTTTTCGATTCAGTTTAGTCCACTCTATGTATACAAAAACGGTTGACAAAAACTTACGGAACACCCTATGTGTTTGTGCGTGCGTGTGCGCGCGCGCGCGCGCGCGTGTATATATACAGGGTGTCTAATCACTGACGATAAATATTTTAAAGACAGATTTTTTGTAACATTTTAGGACGAAAAGTCTAATACTAATATAATAATAAAAGTCTAATATAGTAATAAAATGTCGAAGCTATGATAGTTTTCAAATAGAAAGATTTTAAAAATTACGAATGAGCTAGAATTTCGTGCGTTTCAGGATGACAAGATGATCAATGTAAAGATGTTGAATTTTGTTATTGTCAAAAACATTAAGTTCAAGGAAACACCTTCACTGACTATCTTGCTAATCCTGAATGCCCGAAATTTTAGCCCATTATTCGTAACTTTTAAATGCCAAAGATGTTACAAAAAAATCTGTCTTAAAAATATTTATCGTCAGTGATGCACGCATGTGTATATATATATATATATATTCATGTATATTTCTATTAAATATCCTTCCAACGTAGAAATTATTTCGGTCCAAGCATTTGTTCGGGTCTAACCCATTGATTGAATTGTTCTGCCGTTATTCCATGTTTTAACGCCGATTCTTTTAGTGTGAGCTTTTCTTTGTGTGCATATTTTGCAATTGTAGCAGCCTATAAAAAAATTATAGATGTAAATTCTTACAAAAATATTAATCATTAATATATATATATATATATAAATGTATACTATAAGGAACTCCTATCTCCATATTCATTCTAAAGAAACATAAATTTATAAATACCTTATCATAACCAATATGTGGATTCAATGCTGTGACAAGCATCAAACTTTCATTTACGTTTCTTTGTAGATTATCAATATTAGGAACAATGCCAACAACACAATTTTTTGCGAATGAAGAGCAGGCATCGCCTAACAATCTTGCAGATCTCAAAGTGTTCGCAACCATAATTGGTTTAAAAACATTAAGTTCAAAGTGTCCATTACTACCACTGATACTTATTGCCACATGATTACCCATTACTTGACTACACACCATGGTCATTGATTCAGTTTGTGTAGGATTTACTTTTCCAGGCATAATAGAACTTCCCGGTTCATTTTCTGGGAGAGATAATTCTCCTAAACCACATCTAGGTCCACTTCCAAGGAATCTAATGTCATTTGCGATCTGTGCAAATTATATACATAAGCTGTTAGGACACAAATGATCAGCAGGTTACAAATATAATTTTTAAATAGTTATGTGTCAATACCTACTTTCATTAGAGAAACAGCTACTGTATTAAAAGCGCCGTGTACTTCGACAATTGCATCGTGCGCAGCCAGAGCTTCAAATTTATTTGGAGCACAGACAAAGGGTAAACCAGTGAATTGTGCAATTTTTGCAACTGCTTTTTCTGAAAAGCCTTTTCGCGTATTTAATCCAGTTCCAACCGCTGTACCACCAAGAGCTAATTGATATAATCTTGGGAGTGTATCTTTTACTCTTTTAATACCATATTCAGTTTGCGTAGCATATCCTGCGAAATATTTTAATAATACATATTAGAGATCCGTCTCGTTTTGGGTTTACAGTGCTTGTAAGCATCGTTCGTCCTTTAATAGATAACAAGGATGAAACTGATGCTTACAGCGTGTGAGCGTTAACACAACACATTCTAGGGCTGTTTTTTATGACTGACTAATGTACACTTTTGGAACCTGAAGTAAGATACATATATATGTTGATTTGGCGAAAGTGAGAAAGAAAGTTCTAGTGCAGTCTAATACAGGAATAAAACACAGACCTATTGTATGCAGGATTGGTCATGTATTTAAAACTTTTATTTAAAGCACAATTTTTGCAATACAAGTGTATTTTGTATTTTAGTGAAGCACATGAAAGTATTAAAGTTGCGACAGAACATCAAATATTATTCAATAAAACAGCTACTATAGCTACAACGTCAATTTTTCAAGGAAGTACATAGGGCCTCTCTAGAGATACAGAAACATCCCAACAATTTGAACAGAGATTATAATGTAAGTAGGATATGGAAGAGTAGATTGCTCTCTTGATAAGCCAAGAAAGTCTCCCTCTTCCCTTTCTCAACATACCCTCGCCTCTCTCTACAGCGTCTTCGTAAAGGGAGTTCTCCAGAGGAGCAGCTTAGTAACAGTGCGTTCCTCGCCCTGACGAAGCCAACGGCAAGATCCACGAAACGTTGGCATTAACAATGAATGAAAACACGCAAACCTTCTGGCATCTTTGAAGATAATATCCGTAAAAGCCAAAAAAGTGATTTTGTATTTAAAATCGAAAAATTGAAAGTTTTATATACTTTGTAATTCAAATAATAAGATTGATTGTCAATGTTAGTATTTGAAATACAAAATACAAAATATACTTTCAGGGTGTAGCCACAATAGAAGGAATAAGGAATTCGGACTAAAGAATAACAATTTCAACTTAGAAACTGTGTATTCCGGTGTATCTGATAGATTGAAATCGTTATTTCTTATTCCTAATTCCTTATTCCTTCTATTGTGGCTGCACCCTCAATTTTTCGTTATTATAATACTAAAGTACAAAATACGAAATATTTTCATGTGCTCCACTAAAATACACTAAATACAATTGTCTTATAAATACTGTTATTTTAATAAAAGTATTTCAAATACATGTCCAACCCTTATTGTATAAATATGAGCGATTCCAAATTAAAATACAAGGGTGATTCAAATATAATCAAGATTTTTTGTGTGTGACTACAAATCCATGTTGGTAAATGTGCCAACGTTGATTTGTATTTACACAAAAAACTTTGAGAGTGCGAGGCGTCGTCTACAATACACGGAGTAAGAAGTAAGAGTAAGAAATCGACCAATCACAGTCGAGTATTCTTCTCACATTCGACTGTGATTGGTCAATTTCTTACTCTTACTTCTTACTCCGTGTATTGTAGACGACGCCTGAGCGC